GATATAAAAATGTATATATCCATTTTTCAAATACACTGACCCCATATATAATTGCCTAGTAGTGTATAAATCAATATATAATTATAAATTATACATTAACGCATTTTACTTACGCATAACTTAGATCAAAATTTATATAAATTGTTATTCTTATCTATACTGTTAAATGTAATTGAGCATCATCTGTCAAAACCATTTGATGTATAAGCCTCCATTGATTTTGATAGATAAGAGTAACAATTTATATGAAATTTTGACAATTTTGATCTAAATAGTGATATTTTTTAAATTATGCGTAAGTAAAATGCGTTTAGCATTTGTGTTTTTGATATTTATGCAAAATATGTTAGTTTGGCCATCACTGCTCTTTTCACATATGAAGTGAGGTTCTCTTGCTCAACGAGCAGAATTATCTTTTGCAAAATGAAATATAAATTTAAGATCGGCTTCGAAGATAATGTAATTTTACATTTAATATAGAATGGAGGAACACATTATATTCGCATATATGGGAACGATTTCATTTATCTCAATCAGGGATAAATGTACTTTCAATTATGAAGAATACATCCATGTTATAATTAAATAGATAAAAAAATCAATGCTTCTTCTTACTTTACAGACAAATAATATTGTAAGATAGCAATTTCATCCAAAAATAAGTCTAAATACATTTCAATTACCTTAAATACAAATTTCGCTCATAATTACATCTCTCCACCGTGCGTAACAAATCTCTCCACCGCATACATAAAGATAATAAATATATTACAATCGCAATACAAATGTGCTTATAATATAATATATTGTATAATAAGGGTTATAATAAGGGCCTTGAATCATATCGTATCATCATTGTTGTAGGTCGTACCACAGTCTCTCGTTTAATAATAATGCATACAAATATATATGTATCATCTGTAGTACTGAAGAGAACCGACGATACAAAATGTTCAGAAATTAGGGGAATTCCCGATGTGAGGCCCCTAAACAAACGACCGTGATATGCTCGTGTATCGTCAGTGCACGTGAAATATGCGAGTTTGGTGGAATGGGAAACAGGGGTGGATTGGTAATAATAAAATTATAACAAAAATCGTGAGTAAGCTTATATAAAAAATCATGAGTAAACTTATTATGAGTAAATAATGAAATACAATGTTTCGTCGATGATTTCGGGCGCACGCATTAACCGATTAGAATAATTCATTAGAATTAGAAATAAATTGATTTATATTGATGGGTAAGTGTTCTGATTCGTTTTTGGTAAAGGCAGGTCCAGTTGTTTGAGAGATGCAAGTCTTAAAGTGCTAGATTTTTAGAATTTGATTAAAATGATTCAAACAACATTTTACTAGTATTGATGGAGTAAAAAAATGCATTTCATTTTTGCAGAGGCAGGTCTATAAAGTTTGTAGTTGCATCGAATAATGTTATTAAATTGTCATTAGGTGATAAGAATTATCTTTATTTTATTTATTCATTTATTTACGAATTATTTAGTTATTTATTTACTAATCATTATTATTAATTCAAGTACAAATAGAATTAATTGTATACAGGTAGACAAGAAGAGAGATAGACAAAAGATAGGTATACGGTTAGAGAATTTTATACGTAAATAGATAGACATGTGATGAAATAAACAAATATCAAGATATATAGGCAGACAGGTATACATGTAGACAGGTAGACATGTAGACAGGTAGACAGGTAGACAGATATATATTTATCTATGTACACAAAGAATGGTAGATAGCTTAACAAACATATAGGCAGGTGCATATTTAGAGAGGCTGGCCGATTGACAGGTGGACAAACTAAGCAGGTTAAGAAATTAGACAGGTTCAAAATTTAGACAGGTTCAAAATTTAGACAAATTCAAAATTTACACAGGTTCAAAATATAGACAGGTTCAAAATATAGACAGGTTCAAAATATAGACAGGTTCAAAATATAGACAGGTTCAAAATATAGACAGGTTCAAAATATAGACAGGTTCAAAATTTAGACAGGTTCAAAATTTAGACAGGTTCAAGATTTAGACATGTTCAAGATTTAGACATGTTCAAAATTTAGACAGGTTGAAAAATTTAGGCAGTTTCAAAATTCAGACAGGTTTAAAATTTAGACAAATTCAAAATTTAGACAGATTCAAAATTTAGACAGATTCAAAATTTAGACAAATTCAAAATTTAGACAGATTCAAAATTTAGACAGATTCAAAATTTAGACAGGTTCAAAATTTAGACAGGTTCAAAATTTAGCCAGGTTCAAAATTTAGACAGGTTCAAAATTTAGACAGGTTCAAAATTTAGACAGGTTCAAAATATAGACAGGTTCAAAATTTAGACAGATTGACATTTTGGATAGATTGACATTTTGGACAGCTTGACAAATTGGGCAGGTTGACAATTTGGACAAGTTAACAAATTGAACAGGTTGACAAATTGGACAGGCTGACAATTTAAAGGACAAATTTTTTTGGATAGATTAGACACTTTGGTTGATAAATTGGACAGACAGATAAATTAGACATACTAATAAATTAGACAGGTTGGTAATTCGGAGAGATTCAAAATTTAGACAGATTTAAAATTTAGACAGATTCGAAACTTAGACAGGTTCAAAATTTAGACAGGTTCAAAATTCAGACAGGTTCAAAATTCAGACAGGTTCAAAATTCAGACAGGTTCAAAATTTAGACAGGTGTAAAATTTAGACAGGTTGACATTTTGGACAGGTTGTCTATGTGGACAGATTAATAGATTAAACAATTTGACAATTCGGGCAGGTTGAGAATTTTGACAGGTTGAGAATTTCGACAGGTTGAGAATTTCGACAGGTTGAGAATTTTGACAGGTTGAGAATTTCGACAGGTTGAGAATTTTGACAGGTTGAGAATTTTGGCAGGTTCAAAATTTAGACAGGTTGACATTTTGGGTGGCTTGACAATTTCGACAGATTGCCAATTTAGACAAGGTGACAATTTGGACAGGTTGACAATTTGAACAAATTGACCATTTATACTGGTTGATTTGGACTGATTAACAAATTAGACAGGTTAAAAATTTGAACAAGTTAACCACTTAGACAGTTTGACATTTTGGATATCTTGGCAAATTAGACAAGTTTACAAATTAGCTAGGTTCACAAATTAGCTAGGTTTACAAATTAACTAGGTTTACAAATTAACTACGTTGACAAATGAGCCAAATTGGCAAATTAGACAGGATGATAAATTAAACAGATTAAGAAATTAGACAAGTTTACAAGCAAACAGTTAGGCGAGTAAGCAGGTATAGAGGTGTACACCTAAGCAGATAGATAAGCAATCAGGTTAACAAATAAAAATATAGAAAAATAGTCTGCTAATCTAGTAAAATGATAGACAGGTTGACAAACTGGTAGACTGGTAAATAAAAAAACTGGTTAATCAGATGTACACAAAGAAAAACATACAGATAGATTGACAGGTATAAAGGAAGACAGGTAAATATGTAGGTAATTACATATAGATAAAAAGATAGACAGTTAGGTAGATTGGTACTATCATAGACAGGTAAAAAAATAAACGAGCAGACAGGTAGTCAATTTTGAATTTAGATCGAGCAAAAACCACGTAGACGGATGAAAACTACAAAAATAAATCGGTGGACAAGTTAACTGATAAAAAGATAGACAGGTAGACAAATCGACAAATATAAAGGTAGAAGGTTAAATATATAAAAATATATAAAAATTTCTATACAAGTTGAGAGGTGAAAAGATAAATAAATAAAAAAAGTAATCAGGTAAACAGGTAAAAAAATAGTCAGATAGTCAGTTAAATAGGTAAACAAGTAGACAGGTAGGCAGGTAGATAATCAGCAAATAATAGCTAATATACTGTAATTAAGAATTATTAAAAAAATAATATAATAATAAATAATAATAATTATTAATATAATTTTCAAATAAAATAGGTAATGAATTCTTAAAAAAATATGAACTGATAAAACTAAAATAAAAAATGCTGAATTATCATAAAAAGTCGTAAACTTAGTGAGATTTACATAAATTAACATTTGTTAAAATATAAAATAGTGGTACAGGGTAGACAAAATTATAATTATTATTCTAAGTGAATACGACTCTGTCTCTGTACGCCGAAAATACAATTTTCCGACATATTTCACATCAAAAGGCTTCAATTAAATCTGCGATAACCATACACGCATATCATACATAAATGAATCATATTCTAGCTTGTATATATACACACACACACATACATATATATATATATATATATATATATATATCAAAAACCAACGTCAGCTGAAACGAAGTGAATCAACAAAACAAAAATAAGTTGACTGGTTAAATTAGTTGTCCCTGGTTTTTCTTGATGTAACACATATAAACTCAAGCACATATTTAACTAATATTTTATTGTACAATTTCCATCAACATCATGTCCCATTTTTCTATTATCCTGCAGTCAAAATGTTCTCCACCGTCATCGTGTCATCCAAATAGATGCACCATCGCTCCACCGCTCCACCGTCTCGTGCATAGATAAGTGCATAAAGTTTGCGCGTCGTCGTGCACATTTAACAATATCTTTGTTAGTGAAACACAATAGAAATTGCTCACAGTGTTCGCTGAGCAAATTGTGTTAACTTGCAAATGTTGCTTGCTGCACAAACTCTGCGATAAGTCGAGGAACTAGAGTCGATTCTGGTGGAGAGAAGTCGAGTCAAGTGTCTGATGGTTGGATAGTCTGATGGTCTCTCCACCGTAACTAGTTAAGTTTGATAACCGGCGGAATATTCAATAGGGCAGGATAATGGGTAAAGGACATGTGTTGGGAATATTATATCTAGTACATATTTTACTTCTCAAACTTTTGTCTGATTCAAAGTTCTTTCGTTTTTTTCTTATACAAATCGTTTATGAAGAATAAAAATGAATTCATTTTGATATAAATCAATTTCTTTTTTTTTCAGGCTGTCATAAGAGAAATGAATCGTTTGGGCATGTTGGTGGACCTGTCTCACGTGTCCCAACGTGTTATGTTGGCAACCTTGAGACAAACGGAAGCCCCTGTTATTTTTTCGCACTCGTCTGCACATCAACTGTGTAACAACTCTAGGAATGTCCCTGACTACATTCTCAAAAAACTGGTAAGGATAAAAATAAGCCATTTAAAAAAATATTTGATAGAACAGAAATATTATTGTAATGCTATTTTTGGGGTCAATCTTTGTATGAGTTTGAAGTAAACTGTCAAAAAGCTATGTACTTGCTGTGCGATCAGACGTTTTACACACAAAACCTAACTTTACGTATGTGTTATCAAAGACATCACAAATATGCTCTTACGTTTGTGCGTTTTATAGGTTAGATTTCATATGTAAAACGCCTAATATCACTGCAAATACAAAGTTTTCAGACAGTTTTTTACTACCAACTCATACAAAGATAGACCCATATCATAGTTAAAAAATTACAAATGATTAAAACATTTTTTTTAATTTTAGGCTGAAAATGGTGGAATAGTTATGGTTGCATTCTATCCACATTTTGTCAGCTGTTCTTCAAATGCAACTTTATTAGATGTCGCAGGTAATTCTATAATTTTTTTGAATATATATACATATACATATATATATATATATATATATATATATATATATATATATATATATATATATATATATATAAATGACTGATAACAATTGCTATGCACTATTTCTACATAGTGTAAAAAAATTCAATCATAATCTGTTAGAAATAAATTTAGGCTGTTAGTTCGTACATTGCTGAAACTTATTCACGACATCAATTTTTTTTATTAATGTTCTCCACAAAAAAACAACATTTTTGTTTTATTTCTAAATGATTTTTAAAAATTTTGTTTAAAATTACCTCGTTTAAGATGCTACAATTTTCTAGTTGTTTTCCGAAGTTTTTCTTGAGGTTTCTATAAATATAACAAAGTTGCAAGCATCCATATAAATATTATTAGAATTTTAAAAAGTCTTGTAATTATATAATTAGAACAAATTATTGTGACCATTTTACTGCAACTTTGTTAAAACTATCTAAAATTTTAAAATATATTTATAAATTTTTTATTTTATATTTTATTAATTTTTTTTCTGGATTTAAGTCATTTTCAGTTTCCTTTTAACAATCTGCTCAAAGTTAATCCATTGTTTTGAACGTGTTTTGTTTTTAACTCCGGCAACTTTCTTGCATTTTTTTCCCTTTGAGGTGTCATGTCTTTTGAGTCTGTAATTAATTTCAACACTTTAAGAATTCCTAACATCTTGCTAGTTCTATAGACAGGATGCTGATGGTAAAATTAATAAGTATCATTAGAATTAAGAAACAAACTAAGAGTGCTAAGCGACCTAACAAATTTATCGTAAAAGTAATTGGATGTTTATAAGAGTATGCGATAGAAAAAAGATTGTTTTGAGAATTTTTAGTTTTTTCGAGAAATTTCTAACTTTCTCGAGTGCTTGAAAACTTTCTGGAGGGCTTGAAAACGTTCTGGAGAGGTCTTGAAAACGTTCTGGAGGTCTTGAAAACGTTCTGGAGAGGTCTTGAAAACGTTCTGGAGGTCTTGAAAACGTTCTGGAGGTCTTGAAAACGTTCTGGAGGTCTTGAAAACGTTCTGGAGGTCTTGAAAACGTTCTGGAGGTCTTGAAAACGTTCTGGAGGTCTTGAAAACGTTCTGGAGGTCTTGAATACGTTCTGGAGGTTTTGAAAACGTTCTGGAGGGCTTGAAAACGTTCTGGAGGGCTTGAAAACGTTCTGGAGGGCTTGAAAACGTTCTGGAGGGCTTGAAAACGTTCTGGAGGGCTTGAAAACGTTCTGGAGGGCTTGAAAACGTTCTGGAGGGCTTGAAAACGTTCTGGAGGGCTTGCAAACGTTCTGGAGGGCTTGAAAACGTTCTGGAGGGCTTGAAAACGTTCTGGAGGGCTTGAAAACGTTCTGGAGGGCTTGAAAACGTTCTGGAGGGCTTGAAAACGTTCTGGAGGGCTTGAAAACGTTCTGGAGGGCTTGCAAACGTTCTGGAGGGCTTGAAAACGTTCTGGAGTGCTTGAAAACTTTCTGGAGGGCTTGTAAGCTTTGCGTAGTGCTTGAGTTTTTTCTGAGGGGCTTAAAAACTCTCTGACAAGCTTAGAAACTTTAAGGAAAACTTACAAGCTTCCTGGGTAGTTTAGAAACTTTGGAAAAACTTACATAAACAACTTGCAAACTAATTTTAAAACTAAAATCTTAGAAATTTTTTTGAAATCCTTCTAAATTATTTAAATTTTTTAAATGTTTTTGAAAACCTTGGAAAAGTTTCAAAGAAGTTTAAAACTTTTCGAAAATCTCTTTTCGAAAAATTTGCACGTTTGTATACAAAGAAGACTTATCTAACAATATTATTTCAAGTACAAATGCTAAAAACACTTATCGTCCATCAACTGGTCCCACCAGCTCTCATACTATGACTTATTCAGCCTGTAATAAATCACCTCACCTATGACACGAGGCATTATACTCCGTTAAAGGCAAAATAATTTATTATTCACAGTAAGAAACAGAAAAGAAAAAAAATGTGAATAGGCGAAGGAAGATGTTTACGTGACTCGTAAAAATATGTTAATTGAGAAAAATACTCTCATTGGGGGTGCAAGATGTATAATTAATTATAATTAATTAATAAAGACTGTAAATGTACTTAGTTTTTGTATATATATATATATATATATATATATATTTATACATACATACATACATACGAATACATATGTATAGGATACAGTCATTAATATTGTAAAACAAATTTGAAGTTGACGTTTACTTAGATACATTTAAAAAATAATTCATTAAAATAAAAACTAAAAAATATTTATATGTATATTTTCATATATTTACATGAGAAAAGAATAGGTGGGCCTAAAATCGTTCCTTGCAGAACCCCCATAGCAATGTTCTAAATAATTATGCAAACATTTTAAATAAAATGAATAAAAAATCGACAAAAATATATTTTCAAATATGTAATAGATCAAAAACATTATTAATTAAGATTAAAGAATCCAAAACAGTAAAAATAATAATATAATATTAAAATATTTCAAAAAATAATTTCGTTGATATAACTTGATTTACTAAATAAAAGTTCGTCTTAGAGACGCTTTGCCGAATCATGCTTCATTCAAATGGGCAAAAACAGTATAAACAAAAGAAATGACACCTCTTTGCTTTGTAAAATTTTTTATGCGATATTAAACAATGTTTCAAAAATCATTTTGTTGAAATAACTTGATTTACTAAATAGGAGTTTATAGCGTTTTAGAGACGTTTTGCTGAATCATGCTTCATTCAAATGGACAAAAACAGTATAAACAAAAGAAATGACACCTCTTTGCTTTGTAAAATTTTTTATGCGATATTAAACAATGTTTCAAAAATCATTTTGTTGAAATAACTTGATTCACTAAATAGGAGTTTATAGCGTTTTAGAGGTTTTGCAGAATCATGTTTCATTCAAATGAACAAAAACAGTATAAACAAAAGAAATGACACCTTTTTGCTTTGTAAATATTTTATGTAATAATAAACAATGATTCGAAAATCATTTTGTTGAAATAACTTGATTCTCTAAAACGTTTATAGCGTTTTAGAGACGTTTTGCAGAATCATGCTTTATTCAAATAGACAAAAACAGAATAAACAAAAGAAATGACACCTCTGCTTTGTAAATTTTTTTACGTAATATTAAACAATGTTTCAAAAATCATTCTGTTGAAATAACTTGATTCACTAAATAGGAGTTTATAGCGTTTTAGAGACGTTTTGCAGAATCATGCTTCATTCAAATGGACGAAAACAGTATAAACAAAAAAAATGAATCTTCTTTGCATTGTAAAAATGTTCAAGTAACATTAAATAATGTTTCAAAAATTTTTTTTAAAAAAATTGTTTCACTGAATAAGAGCATATAGCGTCCCAGAACCGTTTTACAGAATCATCCTACATTTAAATGCACAAAAATAGTATAAACAAAAAAAATGATACCTCTTTGTTTTGTAAAATTTTTTATGTAATATTAAACAATGTTTCAAAAATCATTTTGTTGAAATAACTTGATTCACTAAATAGGAGTTTATGGCGTTTCAGAGACGCTTTGCCGAATCGTGCTTCATTCAAATGTATAAAAACAGTATTACTCATAGGGTTATGTTTTTTTTCAACGCATTTTTTTGTTTATAAATCACTTTTTACTTCTCAAACTCCTTTTCAATAAAAATTTGAATTTATGTATATATTTACATTATAATTTTATATAAAAATGATTAAATTAGTGGAAAATATGGCCGGAAAGTGAAAATTTATGGTAGTTTAAAAATGAATGATTTACTGGTATTTATGGAGGGATAAAAATTCAGAGTTACATGTAGTTTTTTTTCGGTTTATTACAAATTAAAGTAGAAAAATTTGGACCAGCACTTTTAAAAATAGATATAGAAATGTACAACCCTTAATAAAAAAATATTTTTAAAAGAAACAAGGTGAAAATTTAAGTTTGTATGTATTTTTCAAAAATTGTTTTAAAAAAAGTGCTAGATGTGGACAATTCTTATTAAAAATAATATGTCTTTAGAAAACTAAAAATAAAAATTAAAATAAAACATTCACTGACTGAATGAAAACTAATTAGATTGTTAAAATGACATTTTAAATAGGGTTTTGTAAAAGATGGTGAAAATTTAGGGCTGTGTGTTATAAATGAAATGAAATTTAGAGCTTTTCATTTTTAAAGTAGGCTTCATTTTTATTAACTAAGTCAATTATTCACACGAATCAGAATGTTTTTGCAATAGTTTGTTTTTAAATTCTAGTTGTTACTTATTTTACGACCAGCTCTCTGTCTATAGAACTAGCAAGATGTTAGGAATTCTTAAAGTGTTGAAATTAATTACAGACTCAAAAGACATGACACCTCAAAGGTAAAAAAAATGCAAGAAAGTTGCCGGAGTTAAAAACAAAACATGTACAGAACAATGGATTAACTTTAAGCAGATTGTTAAAAGGAAACTTAAAATGAATTGAATTTTATACAAAAAAATAGATATTTTATCTATGAAACATGCTTCTAGGGATAGCCCAAATATGTTATTTTCAAAATAGATCAATCAACTTTGCTCCACCGTTTATCCTTTACAAAATAAATCCATAGCGTTTCATCCGTTCGTTTCGTAACTTTTCAATTAATTTTCCGAAATATGGAAAACGTGTCCTGTTACATATTATATAATTCGAATCTACGCATTGGCACATACGTCATATAACATATCCTTTGCTCGGTTGGTTAGTGGGTTGGTTGGTTGGTTGGTTGGTTCATTGGTAATCCTATACCGTTATATGATTTAATTGAAAGCGTCGCATGTTGCACAATTTGCAATTTGTATTTGTAGATTGCAAATATAAGCCTCTCATAGAACGGGTCTCCATTCCTGTTAGTAGAGTTTATTCGAATGGCAGAGGTTCTCAACAATAGGGATAATAAAGATGGTAATTGTACATGGCGTCATGCCTTAAGGCAATTTGCTGGAACT